GGCAAATGGAATTCCTTGTCCCCCTTTTCCATATATTGACATAGATGGTCCACAAGTTCCAATAAATATTGCTAATCTGGTCTTTTTGTTTTTAGTCGTTTTTTTACATTTTTAGCTTTAGATGGCTAAAAAACGACCTGACATCACATTACGAATTATTATTATCATCCTTTCATTCCAGGACGCTGATCATTTGTTGCAATTTATGGCAGATAGCATGTAAGGGCCCAGATGGTGCAAACAACAGTGAATATGTGATTTTGTCCAATCGCCTTGCACCAGCTATTGATCTTCTCAATACAAGACTACAGGTAGGTGATCCATATGGCATTTTTAAAAATTGTAGTCCATAATGTTCATTGCCCTGATATGTCCCTTTTTTAAAAGCCTGGCCCATACGTATTAAAACAAATAACTTTTAAATAATAATAGAATATTTTGCTATTTTAGGACAATAATATATATTATATTCAATTAAAATTAGCAATACACAAATCACTTGTTGTAGAGGACTGAGAAACTCATAAACCTAACATAACATAACCTCAAAAAAACCTTTAACACACCGGGCTATATTATAACTGGAGGAACAAAAGTATATACCTTCGTGAAAAATATTTAATCCCAATTGAATCCTGACCGAGGTCCCATTGCTTATGTACATTAACATTAATTGACAGTTTGACATTATAGAGTGAGATAGTGGTCCAGTGACTTGTTCGCTTCAAACCCGATCAGCGCAGTCAAGCAACGATGGTTACGGTTAGTACTTGGATGGGTGACCGGTGATCATATTCTATACAAAGTTAAATGTAGATATAAATCTAAAACTTATATTCGCGACTAAAACTACCGGTGTGGGCGCTGCCGGTGGAAGTAAATTTGACATTTATGTCAAAGATATATTTTACTGGCTTTTTTAATGTTTAATTGTGTGTTTTTTTAGTAGATTGTGTTGTGTTTTGTGTTTAATAATCCTTTTTGGGCCAATTACCGCTAGAGACAATTATTTATTTAACTTCACTTTACTTAGTTTTCCAGGTAAGAAAATATTAGGTCCAGTTGCATTCATATATCGCTGATTTTTTCTCAGTTTACAATAAAACGAGCATAAAATGAGCGAGGAACACTTTCTTACACTAGGACCAGTGATTTCTTACCTTTAAACTGGTATAGAATAAGTAGGGCTGTTATTTAAAGAGAGGCATTTTTGAATCCTACTCTTTTTAACGGACGTATCTGTCGATATTTTAGCATTCTGCCTGCAAACAACTGCCGTGAAATGACACTAATTAAAGGTAAAACACAATATATGACTTGCCACAGCACAAAAAACGATTACTTAATACACAAAACGACAAAATTGCTATCTTAGCACATTAGCCATTGACAATATTTACTTCCAAAAGTCGGTTCAAATTTTTGTCACCAGAGGGCGAATTTATGTCTGGAGTCGCGAATAGATTCGATCAATTTTAATTTGTAAACAATTATAGACATGCATTAACAATAATTACACTACTCTAACGATTTTAACCGCGACCGTATAAAATCAAATATTCGCGGGTTACGTATTGCGTAGAATTATAGGGACCCCTGCGCCAATTTCAATTTGATTAACATTTTCTTGCTATATTGTTTCTCCAGTTATAATATGGCTCGGTGCTTCAACACTGGTGGCTGGTGGATTTTTAAATATCTATATTTCGGTTATAAAAGCTGGGACCCAAATTATATTTTAAGTCGTGATCATTAGGCTCATATAGAACGTTGCATGGGTAAAATGTAAAATAACGTCAGGCACCATTTACGAAATATTTTTTTCAAAATGGCTTGAGCCTCACCAGTTATCTCCTAAACCAACTGTAAGATTTTCATGTAATATTTTTTTTCCCAATGTTATTGGACAAATTAATACAAGAACCCGTTTTTTTTGCTTTTTAGAAAATTTTTATTTTCTGCAAAGTTATAGCCATTTGAAATTTCGGAAATAGAAATCCCTTGTTTATTTAAAATTTACTTCTGTGTAACTATAGGAGGAATTAATATTCTGTAAAAATAAAAAAGCAGGGCCATTTTGAAAAGAATATTTCGTAAATATTGCGTGACGTTACTTGGCCCAAGCAACATTATATATTATGGGCCATTACCAGTCAGGGCTTAAAATCTAACTTGGGTCCCGGGTTTTAGAACTGAAATATAGACACTTGAAAAGGCCACCAGCCACCACTGCTTCAACATATGCTTTAACGATGGTGATTGTTTATTATATGCGCAGCATGTAATGTGTAAACATTATTATTTGTTACATACATGTATTTCGCTGCGCAAGAAGTGGGCAAAGTATGCAAGGTGTAACTTTTGATGTCTTAGCTTGCATCATATTTATAGAATAGGATCACAAATTGTTTTTTATTTCACCATGAAAAACAATTTTTTTTAAAACCCTATATTTCATAGTTTGAAAACTCCGCCACCGGACAGCGTGTCGTACACAGCCATGAGCGCTTAATATGATTGTCAGCTATGATATGCATAGTTGCCAAAATTCACAATTCAACAGAAACATAGGAAAAGCAATAATTATTATATGAATCAAATTTATTAGATATCGGTTTTTAATTTTATACTTTTTCTGTGTAAGTATTCTCCACGAGCCATATAATAAAAGTTTTGGGTTTTTACTGGCAGACAAAAGGATATGACTGGGCGAGCCGATGGCTAAAACCATAAACCATGAGCCAGCATGTAAAATTTGACTGGCCAGCCAGTTAAGAGAGATTATCAAAGTGGATACAGTGACTTAATAAATTAATGTTTACAAGTGAGTAATAAAAATTAAACATTTTTATTTATAAATTGTCATATACCGACAATGGCTACTTGTCAATTTTCTCCATTGGCGTCATCAATTGCATTTTAAAATGGAGCATTATTTTAAAATTTAAAATAATTTTATGTTTAACTATGGGTATTACTATATGTTAATATAATTAAATAACTGTGAATATTGGTATGTGCAGGGTGATCAAAGTTTTTATCGTGAAAATTTAATAGGCGATATAAGTTGCAAAAATAAAAAGAAACTTTTATATTAAATGTCAGTTTGAAAGCGAGATACAGGTTGTTAAAGTTAATAAAAAAATATCTCAAACTGCTTGAATAAAGAACACGATCTAAATTTGAAGTCGACAACTTCACATTTGATGTACGAAACCTCTTGGTGCTAATAGTTTGTATTTATGACAAATCAAATATCCGACGCTGTGCACGTGCGTATTTTACATGGTCTTAGACTAGTCTACGAATTTTCAAGTTTACGTCTTACTATTAGGGTAAAATTAGGACTTTAATAAACTGTCTCTAAATTGTTAGAGTTAAGGCTAAATTTAATCGTGGGTTCATGGAGCCAACTAAATAAAGAACTAACAATTAGCAATTAACAATTAAGGAGATAAATATAAATGTTATACAAAACCGGGTTATAGTCTAGGCAATGAATAACTGAAAATGGAATGCAGGGTGCATAAAGGATGGAAATTTTTTTTCGTTTTATGAATGTATTGGAGATAGTTAGGATGTAAACATACTAATAATGTCCGCCCCTAGTCCATCCACTTCGGGCAAATAGTTTTGAAGATAGCTGGGGAAGCAACGGCTATTTTGAAAAAAAAATATTTCGCGAATGTTGCCTGGCATTATTTTTCCCAGACAACGTTGTATATGAGCCTAATAGTCACCACTTATAATTTGGATTCCTGCCTTTATAACAGAAATATAGACATTTGAAAATCCACCGCTCGCTCCTGCTTCTCACAGTCACAGTTTTGATCCAATGGCCATAGGTTTAGCTTTATTTTAAATATTGTATATAATTTATTATTATGTCATTTGTGAGCCATGTGACCTTGTATAGAATAAAATATCTAGGTACGAGCATCTTGTGATGTAGTCTATTCATTTGAGTTTCGAACAGTTGTCGCTTTGATCAAAATTCAAATTGTGCGGTTTTTTCTTAGGGGGGTTAGTCTGCAGGATGATGTAAGTAAGGATGGTGCAGTCACTTTTGTGTTTTGTTTTCATCCTATGACCTATATAGTGTTATGATGGCCTCATGTTAAGAAAATCTGTTAGATGGCGGTCGCGCATGTCGGAAAAGTAGTTTTCAATTCTGTCAAATGATCAAATGTCAGCTAAGTTGAAATAAGATTCCTTGTGCAGCTTTAACGGGGCGTTTATTTTGCCACATTTATCATTTAAAGCTGTTGTGATTTTAAAAAACTGTATTTATTGTTTATTTTCACACATGTACTGTCAAATTAAGGATGGTAAAGTAGGTCACTAAATGTGATTGTGGAATAAAAATGCGTATGTGGCGACCTCCCACGGCAATATGTAACATGAGGCCATCATAAACCCGCCTACCCGAAAAGGATTTTGGATTACTGCCGTTCATTCATAAAACAGGGAAGTTAACACACCAGTCTTTACTTACATCATCGTCTGCAGCTATCAGTTGTTTCAACTGTCGCTGTACGAGTGTCAAAACTGCTACAGTTAAAATGAATAAACATTAGTCCTGCAACTGTCAGAAACGTGAAATATAAAGGCGTGGAGCCCCTTCAGGAAACTGATGACGAAGATATTGTGATTCACAATTCGTGCTGCAATCATTGTCGATAGTGAAGCTAGAAACCGGCCCCCCTGAATTGTTAACGTACATTGTATTAAGATTTTTCATTTGTTCTTATATTTCTTCTAGTTTAATGTTTTACATTTCTCGTTTTGAGTTTTGATTTAGTTTTTGTATATTAAAAATAAAATTTGTACAAATGGTCGTTACACAATCGCCTTCGTCCCAAGTTTAAAATTTTTCACAGAACCTAAAAATTGGTCTTTTACCACATGCTCTAAATTGAGTGTTATTATTATTATTGTTTTCTTCGTTTCACCTGTTAATTAGTTTATTTCCAAAGAGTTATTTAACTACCTCTTCTGGAGCCTGTGCAGCTGAGTAGTCAAAGGCGCTTGAATTTGTATATATGAGTTGCAAGGGTCGCAGGTTCGAATGCCGCCATACGGCGAAAATTTCAAAGGGACTTTTTCACTGTGCTATATATGTTTGTAAATGTCTAGGTAAGGGGTAGTATAAGTTAGTAGGTAAAAAAGGCCCGTTTGTGGCCTACTTACGATTTGAAAATTTTTTGAAATTATTGATCTTCTATTACCGTATTGTCGCCTTCTTGTATTTCATTAATTATTGTTTTATTCACTGTTTGTTTTATTCCACATTTTTGTTTATTACAGACCAGACGGCTTTACTTTTATTATCTGCTCGATTTATTATGTGATTTTGTTGAGAAAAAAAATGTATTTATAACATTCTCTAATTGGGACTAAAACAAACGGCCGAGGAGTACCCATCAGAATTATGACAAAAATCGTCTGGCAAAATAGTATATTATATTATCGGAGAAGAACCCCCTTTTTTTGTGTTGAGTCCAGGATTTGAAGTTGAGAAGAAGCCAAAGCTGTAAACTGGGCGAAACAAAAAGACGTTCTACTCCGTGTAATATAATATAATAATAATATACAGCCTTATACAAACCTTTGAAGAACCTCATGGTTCTTGTGCGAGGAAGGCATTTGGTAACGCATTTGCTTTACAGTCCTGCGAAAACCCAGAAAACTCGCAACATTACCAAATTCTAGGGCCGGTGAGGTAAGGATTGGCATCTTTACAACCCCACTACACAACAGGTGAAAGTAATAATGTGGTTGCATATCTTTTATCTCACTAGAATCAGATTTCAGTAAAGAAAATCTAATGATACAGTGAGGATTCGAACTCACTTCGCCTACATCGCAATATCGAAAGACAGGCGGCTTAACCGATGTGACTACTCTGGCCACTATATAAACAATTTTTTTTTGGCGGCTTTCGGTACTAATATTTTGTTACTGGTAAAACAATGTCCTATTTTTATTCGCAAAAATCTCTCGTCATCAGATGGCGCTGATTATGTCATTATAAAGGTGAACAACAAGCCTTTTTGACGGATAAATAACCTATTTGTGGCACATTTATGTCCAATGTTGTAGTGTCGACAAACGTGATCGCATATTATATTATGCTACATATTTCCGCAAGTATAATATAGATCAGGGTTTCCCAAAGTGGGGTCCACGGACCCCTTAGGGGTCCGTAGCATGTGTATCAGGGGTCTGCAGTCGCTCAATTAATTCGTAACAGTTAATATAATTACTAGGAAATTGTGCAGTCGAAGACAATTCCACAATTTAACGTTCTCATTGAGGCCAAGTAGCAGCATCCTTCTCATTAACTCAAAATTGGTAACATTTAATTAAGTATTGGTAAGTGTAATGAAGCTACCAATAAAAGTGATTTTTTTAATATAAATAAGGCTTGTTTTCTTTTCCTAAAATATTCTTTGACAGGGGTCCGTGGAATTTTTTAAATTCTGATAGTGGTCCGTGACTGCAAAAAGTTTGGGAAACACTGATATAGATGGACTGTTTGAACGTGGGAGTTGTATAGTAAATATTATGTTCACCTCGGTTACATTCTTACCGATTGATATGTGTATCAGCGACAACTAATTTTCTATTACTGTGTAGATTGCGCTGTACACACGCAAAGAACGGTGACAGGGACTTTAGCAACTTGCTTTGCCGCTCCATTATTCTTGATCTGTCTATTTTGGTGAGCGGCACCGCGGGCACTGCCACACATCTTCCAACTGCCGCCGTTTCATTTGCGTGTCCGCGATGGGAGGAAATTTCGACGCTCTGATACGGCTCCATTGGATCCATAATTGCGCGGTGAGCCTGTCGCCACGGACAGGGAAACGGGAACGTATTAGCGCCAGGCTTTTAGTGACGGTGCATGGCACTGCCGACAGTGCCGACAATGCCGACTGACTTGTTTATAAAACGAAAATGCATGCCCCGACTTTTGTATGTTTGTACACAGATTCGAGTTTTTGTATTTTACATTCATAAATACAGATTTCGTGTTCTCAGTAGGATTATTATTTTGGATAAGTTTTCAGGGCAATACGAATAGTTCGTTTTATCTTTAAAATTATTTTATGGAATGTATTCCAATTTTGGAAAATTATTCAAAATTCGGCCAGGCAGAAAAACGTTAAAAAAAATGAAAAAGTGGTAAACATTCTGGACATCAGTTGATTTTAAACAGAAAGGGACAACAATTAAGGGGTATTATAAGCAAAAAATTGGCAAACATTCTGGACATCAGTTGATCTTAAACAGAAAGGGACAACAAATAAGAGGTATTATATGTAAAAAATTGGCCAAATACAGACGATTTATTATTATTATTATATGCACAATTTGCGCACCAATAGATTTCTTTGGGTTTCTGTCATCGTGTTAACATAGATTTAAGTTCAAAAAGTGACCAATCTGTTATAAATTACCATTAAAAACTGCGGTAAGATTGTAACATGCAAAGTACGACTTATATTCCAATCATTTAGATTCAAACAGCGACATATTAGCCGATAGAAAACATTAATGAGGTCACGTGGTTTGGTTGACATGGCAGATTGTTGTACAGGATCATCACACAAAATTGTTGGATTGTGCTGTAACCTCGTCGCCGTTGAAAATAGTGAAAAAATAAAAATTTCTTTATTACGAGAATACCACTACTCCAAAAAATGTACACTGATTCCGGTTTATACTAAATTTAGCTTATATTCCGTCATATTATCGAGTATTCCGGTTTATTTCGACGTATTCCCATGTATTCCAACATATTCTAGAGTATTCGTAATTATTCCGACCTATTTATAAATTGGTATTTGGACTTATTTTTCAGTGCATGTATTGTGTATTCTGAAATAAAAAGACAAATATAATTTTTGAAATTAATTAATTCTTCCAGTTCAATTTAATTCAAGAGATTGAAGTTCGAACATGCTGTTTAAAGTCGGGACTGACAGTCCCGTGATATAAATTTAATGTGATATAAATTTCTGTTCAAAAATTTTCTTAAATTCTAAAATTTTACAAATGGGAGTCGCCCCCTTAAAATTTGAATGACTTCCAATCCCTCCCATGCTTTCATTAAAACATCCCTATCTCGGCTAAATTCCTGCTTTAACAAGCGGTTAAGTAAGAGTTAAAAATCGCCTCCTTAAACAGTGAATTACTTAGTAAAACCTTCCACTAAAACCTCTCTAGCTTGGCCCAGCCACAAAACACCAAATTCTCGCTTAAACCAGCGTTTAAATAAGGGATAAATTCCGCATCCTTAAGATTTGGATGACTTACAATCCCTCCCAGAGACTAAATTATGCAAAGTAACGAAAGTACTAAAAACATGTTTTACTAACACCTCTCCAGTTTCCTCTAGCCTCAAAACCCCAAATTATCGATTAAACTAGCGCTTAACTAGGAGCTAAAGTCAACTTTGTTAAAATGCAAATTACTTACATTCCCATTCAGGGACAAAAATAAACAAAGTAAAAGAACTAAAAACATGCTTCCACTAAAGCCTCCTCAGATTCGTCCAGTCACAAAACGCCAAATTCTCGCTTAAATCAGCGGTTAAATGACATTCTAAAGTCCGCTTCCCTAAAATTTGAATGACAATTTCTCTCGGAAACGGGGGAAAATTAAAAAAAGGTACCTACTTAAACATGTTTTTAATAAAACCCCCAGCTTCGTCCAGCCACAAAATGCCAAATTGTTGCTTAAACAAGCGTTTAAATGGGAGACACATTCCGTTGCCTTAAAATGTGAATGACATAGTCCCTCCCAGGAACAAAAATACGTAAAGTAAAATATAAATATAACCTTCCCAACTTCGTACATCCATAAACAGCCAAATTCTCGCTCAAACCAGGAGTTTAAATTGGAGCTTAAGCCCGCCTCCTTAAAACTTTAATGACTTACAATCTCTCCAATAGACAAAAATACGCAAATTAAAAAAGTATTAAAAACATGCTTTCACCAAAACCTCCCCAGCTTTGTTAAACGAGCGTTTAAATAGGAGGTGAAGTTCGCCTCCTTAAAATGTGACTAACTTACAATTCCTCCCAGGGAGAAAAATATGCAAAGTAAAAAAATAAGTACATAAAACCTTGCTTCCACTAAAATCTGTCTAGCTTGGCCCAGCCACAAAACACCAAATCTCGCTCTTAAATAGAAGCCAAATTCCGCTTCATTCAAATGAATGACTTGCATTCCTTCCCAGGGACAAAAATATGCAAAGTAAAAAAAAGTACATACTAAAAACGTGGTTTCACTGAAGCCTAACTGGCTTCGTTCAGCCTCAAAACTGTCTACTTGTTACTCTGACTCAATCAGGTCTCATGGACTCGTTTGCGTATGTCCAGCTTTTGGGCGCGTTCTTAGCTACGATAAACGACAAAAGTAGCGATAAGACAGTAGCGAAGATTATTGCAGACTTGATTGCAGAGATTGTAGTATTTTTTTTCAAATTCCTTAGTATTTATAGCCTTCAAATCGAACATTTCAAAACATAAGTTCAAACTGACAATCCATGCCAAAATATTGTTTTCAAGATTTTTTCTGTTTGAAACTTTAGTAATAGTAAATTTAAGACTTAGAAAAATAAAACATAAACAACTTATAAACATCAAAAACATATAGTAATTATTATAACTCTAAATTTTATAAAAAAAAAAAAGAAAATAAAACAATGAATGATAAATTTAATGTTTTAATGCGAGATCACTTTTAGTCACTGACACTCGTCGTTTTGCCCAGTAAATCATTATTATTATTCAAAAATAATAGTATATTATTCAACAAGCATATAATGACAGCTGTTATTCACGAGGGTGATGTTTGCGACACGAGCCGTAGGTGAGTGTCGTAAATCACCCGAGTGAATAGTAGCCATTATATGCGAATAGAATACTAAACTTTGTCCACGACTATGAACCTAATTTTATTTTTATAAGTTACAATTTCAGAAAGAGGTTAAATTTTGGCGTGGTGCCATGTTTATTTTAATTGTTTTACAAAGGTTCATGGAAAAAAGTACTAGAATAAACGACATTTATCA